AGCAGCTTCCCCGTCCTCTGGCTGAACTCGTACATGTATGGTCCACTGTACAGGTAGAAGAAACCTGCGGGACACACGTCACCTGCTTGTTCTGCATTACAGCCCAAAGACCCTGAAAACAGCTGGACAGATGCTCACCTCTGTACAACAGAGCCGCTGTCACTCCGGAGCTCATTTCCAGGAAGGTGTCATCCACTTGTTTGGGGTTTCCGTCGTCCATGTCCACCCTGGCCTCGTCACAGCTGGAAGAGAAATGGGATTAGGCAAGATATTCCCCAGGTGTGACCTGAACATACCTGTAGTAACTGCTGCCTACAAAGAAAAGAGTCTTCCTGGTCTGTGGGTCATTTGGGGGCGGCATCCTTTTCCACTGCTGTGGGTAGACCAAAGCTGGGTATGGATTTAGGATACCCGGTCATGAGATCATAGCCGCTGAACGCCCAGACGCAGCAGCCTGCAAACAGATGTAAAGAGGATTTCATCGCGGACCTGTGTGAGGGAGGGATGAAGCGTGCTTCAGCAGATGGACACAGACCTTTAAAAAGAAGGACTCGGTCTGACTGTGGGCTCTCGTATGCAGCGTCGATGATAACTGATGCATCGGGCCAGAAGTTTGTGATGACAGCCTGCTGAGGGGTCACAAGCTGAGGGTGGCTACACCAGAAGAACCTGATCACACACAAATGATCATCTCAGCAACACCATGGAGAAAAACGCTCCACATGGATTTGTTTTACTTTCCTGCCCTTGAAGAAGAGCATCTCTCCTCGCAGTCCAAAACCAGGGTCAAGTCGCAGGCGTCGGGCTTGACGGGCGCCCTAGGGGTCATCATTTGGACCTGGAGGTCATTTCATCAATGTGACATCACAGACAAGCTAGTGCACAAACTAGTGCACAAGTTTGCTTAATCAAATAATGACTCAACATTTGTAGGCCCATCTAGCTTCACAATGACAGAGCAAGTCTAAACTTTGTAATAAAATACCTTCAAGTTAGCCAAGGTTAAGTCACTCCATAATATGACCCTGAAAAAGTACAGTGTTTTTTAATTATTTATAGATAAATATAATTGATGGCATCCATTCAATAAAATTACAGGGAAATTATGCCCTTAGTTGTAGACTGTGTTGTAGAGTGTTACCACAAGTTTTGGTCAAATTGAAAGTTTTTCATAAAGGAAGAAGTGAAGACTCACTGTAAAGGGACTTGATACCTTTAAGATCCCAGGGCAGAACAAAGGTGTCCAGGTTACTGTATGAGTACACTGAATACATGAGAGCGCCAGGGTCATCAGAGTGAGACAAGCCCAGAGAGCGACCAGCCTAGAGCAGAAACTCAGAACCACAGGTCACAGTTTAAGGTGGTCAGGCCACATCCTGAGCAGTAATCAGGAACAAAGTCACAGAGTCACCTGTGTTTGAGTGGAATGTGAAGGTTTCATCATCATCAATATGGGCATCTCCTCCAATCCCAAGTGCCTGGCCAAAGGCGTGGGGGAGATTGCCATCGGGGCCATCCAAGGGGCTGCCGTCACCATGACCTGTTGGAGGGTAATCAGGGTAGACTAAACACACACACCTAAGATTGCATTGGTCTTTATGGGATAATATTACTGTGTGCTTTGTGGACTCACCACTGCGGCTGAAGGAGATCATGATGTCAGCAATGCTGCTGTAGATTCTTCTGAACCTCAGGGGCGTGACTTTGGCCCACACCTGCAGAGCTTTCTCTATGGAGTCATCCACCTTCGCCACAGACATGTCAGGTATATAGTACCTTTGCCAAACTTGCATCTTTCTGGGAGAGCTGAGATATCGGCACACAGTAAACTGTGAGTGCCAGGCTCAGCAGAGCACTCAGGCTCAAAATCTTCATGCTTCCTCATGTCTCAGGCTGGTGGTCGAGAAGCTCTTATATATGCTACAGGCTGGAGGAGCTGAGTGACTACCTGCTGTCACCGAGGAAGCGGTCCTTTTATGGATCACAGAGGAAGTCTGGTTTTGATCACATCATGCATACATATTGCCACATCGCTACCGCGGTTTATGGGGAAAATCTTCATGAGAAAAATCACATTAGGAAGTTCTCTACTTGGACAATCATCAGCCTTCAGTGCACTCTCCTGATTTTGTGTTCTCCACAGGAAATCAAAGTGTTGTTGATGGATTAGTGACTAGATTAGACCTCAGGGTGAAGTCAGAGTTACTCTTTTCCAAAGATACAATAAAAACTACTCATATCTTCAAGGAAGAACACTTTCCTCTGACAATTTTTTTGACAGATTAGATTTACAGTTCGTATTTTTACGTTAGTTTTAATTGGTTTCCAGGACAGGCTTCTGTTTACCAATCACGCCGTGTTACGATGTGTGAAATAATAACACAGCCATGTCTGAATCTTTGAAGAGCTACCCAGAAGTACCCGGAGGATGATTTGTCTGAGACCCCTGCAGGAAGGTGATTCCACTGATGGGGTGGTATAGGACACACTGAGGCTACGTCCACACTAATGCGTTTTTGTTTGAAAACGCATTGTTTTCTCTCCGTTTTGGCCTCTTGTCCACACTGAGACGGTGCTTTCCCCAAGGGAAAACACTCTCGAAAATGCATACATTTCAAAACGGAGCTGTCCCGTCGCAGTGTGGACACTCGAAAACACAGACTTTCTAAAACGATGACGCATTTTAGTCATGCTATAAACAAAGATAGCGGAGGGCATTATACAGCAGTTGTTTTGATTGCTCTCAATTTTGACAGCCCTAAAAGAGATTAAGATCAGTTTGTACATGCTCCAGATAGCTTTTCTTCAAATGTGAAGTTTAACCAAAAAATGTGGTTAAGCTCCAACACAGAGCTTAACCACTCTGTGACTGATAAGTTCAAGGAGTGTTTGTGCTCTCTAAGGCCCATTAATCATCTGAACTTTCTAACTTCATAACCGTAATTCTCTTTTTCCAAACCCTTCCATACATGAAGAGGGGGGAATTATTGACCGTGCAGCCCAGGATCTGTTCATATACCTGGCGGAGAAGACGAAGGAAAGTGATGTTGTGGATGTCACAGTGAAGGTTTCCTACATTGAGGTGTACAAGGAGGAACTACGAGACCTGTTGCAGCGGCAGACCACCCACAAAGAGCTTCATATCAGGGAAGATGAGAGGGGAAACACGGGTAATCAACTTTTTCTACCTTTACTTTACTTATATTTTAGTATTCAGAGTGGAAATAAAAAAGTAGAAACCATACACCTTCAGAGATGACAAACTGCGTCCTATATTTTCGACCATCCATCTGAGTATCATCCTATTGACAGACCGTTGTGATGTTATTAACACTTATGTATTTCAGGATAAAAAGTTTGAGAGAGCGCACTGGAGAAATCACAAGTACCGCAAAAGATATTATATACTGTGTAATCATTTACAGTCAGCGGCTCTGTGGTGCACCTACTTGTAATAATATGTAAAATTGTTTTTAGCTCATTTAATGAGTGAATGATAAATGATCCAGTGAGATTAGGCATTTTGTGTGAATGTCTGCCTACAGGGGAAGCAACAGTCTTGTTTCATTGACTAAAAAGTCTCTGTGTGATTCCAGTGGTGGTGGGAGCTGAAGAGGTTGTTATCACCTCAGCAGAGGAGCTGCTCAGCATTGTAAAGATGGGAAATGCTTTGCGGCACACCAGCACCACAGGAATGAACGAGCGCTCCAGTCGCTCTCATACCATCCTCACCCTTCAGGTCGTGTTATCCTGCCACAACAGCAAGAACTCTTCCTTTAAGTCTGTGCGCTCCTCTAAGCTCTGTCTGGTTGACCTGGCAGGCTCGGAACGTGCTAGAAAAACTGGGAACACCAGGACACAACTGAAAGAGTCTGCTCATATCAACACAGGCCTGTTTGCACTGTGCAACGTTATCCGTGCACTTTCAAACCGAAGTCAAAATCGGCACAGTAACAACTCCGGCAGTGCACACGTACCATACCGTAATCCCAAGATCACTCGACTCCTTCGTGACTCATTAGGAGGCACATAAAAGGAGCATTTTCCTAGAAATGTTGAACATGGTAGGCAATCATGATCCTGTGGTTAAAAGGAGACTGGAACAACAAGCCAAAAATGCTTTGTATACCAGTAAAACCATCCAGAATGAAATTGTTTCATGTTTGGCTGAAATGGTTGCTGAGGAGATCATGCGAGAAGTTAAAAACAGTGCACAATTTTCAGTCATTGTAGATGAGACTAAAGATGTCAGTAAATCAGAGCAAATTTCCACCCCAAAAAATCTTCTCTAGATCCGCCCCTGAGGAGGCAGCGCCCACACGCTAATGGTGGCGTGTGTAAGCCCCTCCCACCACTTTGTAGCTGAGACCCTGGCCGTCCTGCAGTTTGCATCCATTGCCCGATACGTTCAGAACCGTCCAAGTCCTTCTTTCAGGCAGCGGCTGCAGGAGAGACTCAGAGCTGTCAGTCACTCACCTCCAACTCGTATGGAGTGTTCAAAGGAGGAGGGAGACCATTTTGCTCCATTAAACCTCAGAGAAGAGCTAAAAAAAATGCCAGGTAACTATAAAAGATTTTAAAAGGGATGTTGCCATTAAGAGATCGCAAACACTTTGATTACAATCAATTGATAAAAAGTAAAGCAAAAAAAACTCTGAGATTTTTATTTGGTTGCCTTGAAGTGTAAAAGATGGTTAGTGTCTCCAACATGTGGACATGCCTGACACATTAAACAACAACAAATGAGCTTGGTGTTTTATTTATATATTACTGTACCCTCTTAGATACCTGCTATTCAGAATAGGAGAAGTGTATTCAGACTGCAATCATTTCAAACTGCTGATGGAATTGCCGTTAAAGAACTGAAGTGTAATATGGATTTTTTTTTAAAAACCACAGATATAGCTAATGTAAACTAAGAATGACTGCATCCCGTTTAGATTTGAGGCTGTAGAAAGAAATAAAGCCATGGGTATATCATTGGTTATTCTTTTGTTTCCGTTACAAGTTGTCAACATTTTGTCTGGAACATCTTATCCTCTGAGAGCTTATGAGAAGATGATGTGAATAAACGCAGCATGGCTCAAATGGATCAAACTGTTTACATAGACAAAAGCCAAGTTGTACAATTTTATAGGCTTGCTATCCTATCCAGTTTCTCTTTTGTATGCTTAGGAAGCTCTCCACATAGACAAGCAACTGTTGGAGCAGAAAGATGCAGAACTGAGACGGGTAAAAGAGGAACTCGAGAAACTCCTTCAAGAGAAGAAAACTCACCTTATGTTGTTAGAGGAAGAAAAGCAGCGATCACGCATACAGGTGAGGAGGAGAACAGTGCAATAAAGAGCTGCTCTGTGATGCAGAAATCAGTATATTTTATTTACGGGAAAAAAATTAAAAGATGAATTTAATGCATGTCTGCTGTGTTATCATTTGTTCTTTAAATGTGCGCCTCTGTGCAAATGTTTAGACAGAACAACTGGTGAACCAGCAGATAATGATTGATCGCCTTCGTGGCGAACTCATGACCTTTCGGGGGACAGCCTCAGGGGCAACAGTGGAAGTGGGGGGGTCTGAGTACTCAGGCAAGAGACCCCCCAGTGTCCCTCTGATCACACACAGCTGCATGTGGAGGCCTCCCAGGAAGGTAGGAAGCAGTGGGTAGTGTGTGGGTTAGGTTGATGTCCATAAGTGAGGGGGGTTTTTTTTGTTGTTGTTTTTGTTTGGTCTGTTATAATGGGTTTTTTTTGTGACTTTTATTATCCGTGATCCTAAAAAGTGTGCCTATAGACTGGAGAGGGTAATGGCAGCTTTTAAAATCCATGGCCAACTCGTGCTGGCTGAAATTGAGGAAAAAGATGACGTGTACTGCCCGCTCTTAAGTGGGTCTTTTTGTTAGTGTAAAGCTTTTTAATGACATATTTAATCCATGATATATCTTATATAGCATGTCTCAGTTTTTCTACATGAAGAAAAATATAGAAAAGGTTCTGGTAGACAGGTGATGTATTTATGGAGATGTCAGGAACAGTTTCTGTAGTAGACCTCCTGATATCCATAAATAATTGTGTCCTTTCTGCAATTTTCTGTTTCACAGGGAAACAAGAAAGGCAAGTAAGGATCAGAGGCAGATGGAAAATGCCTGAAAACAAAATGAAATAAACAAATGAAGAAACCCCTGAAGAATATTCCCACTATTGATCGAAATCAGGGTTCTTTTTTTATTTTATTTTTAAATTCTTAGACTCCTGATCAGCCTGTAATGCATGCCCTCCCTAAACACACACACACA